TGGATAGGTATTCTTCAAACATTTCAAAGACCTACAGAATATGGCATTTAAAATATTCCAGTGACAGACTTTTCTCGACAATGAGGTATGCCTGCTCCTTGCAGAACCATTTACTTCAGAGAGGTTGATGGGCATTGAAGAAACTTGTTACAGAATTTGCCTTCAATGTGACAAGGCAAGTCATTTGGACAGGAAACTGCTCTTGCCTGAACTGCTTGATGGTATGCTGTATGAACTGAACACACAGGACCCATAGATTCAGGACTTGCTTACAGTTCAGAAACTGAGGCAGGGACCATGGTAGCAGGCAGGCAGCAGGCAACATGGTGCTGGAGCAGTAGCTGCAAGATTACATGTAGAGTCTACAACCACAAGGTGGGGGGTATGAGAAGGCTAATTGAGAATCTAACGGGCTTTTGAAACCTCAAGTGTCCACTCTCACTGACACACTGCCTTCAACAAGGCCACACTGTCACTTTATCCCTCCTGCTGTCTCCTCATTGATCTTTTTATACTCCCCAAATAGTCTCCTTTCTGCCTTCTATATTCCATATAGTCTTGCTTTTAGTTTCATCTGGCACACACAACATGTATGTGAATATATATAAACAATAATTTATATATAAATATACATGACACATGAAATAAAATATTTTGTCTTTCCCCCATTACCCTCTCCTTTACCCTTCTCCCTGTCTATAAACCTCTTCATTGCCCCTCATATTCCCTATTACACTTTCATGTCAGAGGGACTTTTACATTTCAATCCTTATTCCACATGTTAGGAAACAGTCCTTGCCTTTCTGAGTCTGGTGATGACCATCTCCTTTTCTTCTCTCATGATTACTGAATGAACCAGTGGTGATTAGTTCATGCTGTCAAGTTTATACAACCTGGAGTCACTTGGGAAGAGGGAACCTCAACTGAAAAACTGCCTCCATCAGACTGGCCCGCGGTTTTGTCTGTGAGATATTTCCTTGATTATGGAGGGGGAAGGGCCCAAGTCATTAAGGACAGTCACATCCGTAGGCAGGTGGACCCTAGACAGCTATAAGACAGCTGGCTAAACATGAGTCAGTGAGCAAGCTGAGGCCACAGTGCTCTTTGGTCTCTGCTTCAGTTCTTGGAAGTTCTTGCTGTGATATCCTTCAACACTGGGCTGTGACCAGAAGGATCAATAATATAACCCCTTTTTTTCCTGAAGCTGCTTTTGGTCAGAGTGTTTTATTATGCAAAATCAACAAGAATAAACATAATCTTATAAACTGTGAGAAATAAATAACAGGTGATGATTATATAATGTTATTGTATACTACATACATGTGACTAAGTTCTATTTTTCTTAGTATCCAAATAATTTTCTTACATTATATGTCTCAGGGTTTCTACTGCTGAGATAAAATACTGTGACCAAAAGCAACTTTGGAAAAAGGGATTTCCATCATCTTACTGCTCTCAGGTCACATTTCTTTGTTGAGAGAAGTTAGCACAGGAACCTGACAGGAACTGAAGCAGAGGCTATGGAGGAATACTCCCCACAGTTTGCTCAACCTGCTTTCTTATATATCCTGGAACCATGTGCCCAAGTGTGGCACTGCCCTCAGTAAGTTGGCTATATCAATCTTTAATCAACACAATGCCCTATTAATCAACATAATACCCTACAAAACTGACATGCCTACCAGCAATCTGACAGAAGCATTTCTTCAACCGAGGTTCTTCCTGGTAACTCTACCCTGTGTCAAGGTGACAATCTACCCTGTGTCAAGGTGACAAAATCTAAGTACCACACTACAGAAAACAAGAAGAAATAGACTCTTTTGAACATCTGTGACGTTCCAGTGCATGATTTCTAACGTCTGAGAAGTCTTTGAAGCTAAATGATTTCTGAGACTGTTCTGCCAAGCAGGAAGTGTAACAACATCACTGGGCCAAAATGAGTTACATTGCTGAACAACTTAGATGATGTTCTTTTTCTTTTTATTTTATTGATTTTTATTGATCTCTACATTTTTCTCTGTTCCCCTCCCTGCTTCTCCCCTCCCCTCTTCAACCTTCTCCCAAGGTCCCCATGCTCCTAATTTACTCAGGAGATCTTGTCTTTTTTCTACTTCCCATGTAGATTAGATCTATGTAAGTCTCTCTTAGCAAAGAAAACCAGTCTACAAACCACAATGCCAGAGAACTTAGACAATAATGAGGACACTAGATGATATTCTTATATTTAAAAATTGAGTGATATTTCTTCAGAATACATGGCTTTATGAACATGCATTGATATGATGAAATTGAAATTGAATATATTACCTAACTTTTATGTTTTTATCAATATATGTAGACTCAGATATAAATAAGCTATAGTAATATATTATGAAAAGTACAGGGGTATTATATTGTTGAGGTACAGATTTCAGTTGACATGAGTATTCCTCAAAGATATGGATAAATATTTAGTGGATTTTTGAGTTGGGTACTATTTTGTTTACAACTGCTTCTGAGAGTAGGGAAAAAGAAGTTGGGAAAAGTTAAAAGAAAGAGAATATACAGATTTCATCCTCTGGCTTTGCCTTCATAAATATTTTTTATTTTTTAAAATCTCTCCTCTCTTTCTCCTTCCCTCTCTCACTCCCTTCCCTTCCTCCCTTCCCCCTCCCTCACTCCCTCACTCCCCTCCCTCCATCTCTCTCTATGTGTATGTACACATGTGTGCACGAATGCCATAATACATGTGTAATAATCAGAGTCCAGGTCTTAGGAGTTGGGTCTCTCCTTCTATCACAATAGTCCTAAGAATCAAAATCATCTCATCAGGCTTGTTACGGACATTACCCAGGGTGTTATCTCACTTGCCCTACAAACACGCCTCTTTAGTTTCTTTATCTGTCTAAAGACTAGGAACTTCATTTTGTAATGATTTAAAATGTTTCCCAAACTTACCAGCACATTGGAACCAGTTAACAATCTTCAAATAAAACTGATGCTTCTAGTTCACCTCAAAAATTATAGTAACATTGGTTTGGAATACTTGAACTTGGAATTTTTATAGGACCTCTTTGTTAAAATGTAAATAGTTGCTCAGGCTCAGAAAACAATTCTGCAAACTATACCATTTTGCAATTCAAAGAACTTTGATATAAAGAACATTAGAACACCCAAGAAACAGGCTCAGAGACAAGGCTTCCTTCACCTTTCTTTCCTGTCTATTGCTCTTTATCTTTTCCCAAGTAATGACAAACATTAGTTCACATGTGGTGGTTTCAGTGAGAAATGTCCCTCATACTATTGGATTGGTGTCACTGTTTGGTGAGGTTTCAGTGGCTTTCTCCTTTCTGGAGTAAGTTATGTCACTATGGGTGGACTCTGAGAGTTGAAACCTCACTCACTCTCTGCTATGTACTTGAAGTTCAAGATGAAATCTGTTTCCTGTTCCTGCTGCCATGCATGCCTGCTGTCAGCTGGCACGCTGTACCAACCATTATGGATTCCAATGCTCTGGAAGCATAAACAAAATTAAACTATTTCTTCTACAAGTTGCTTTGATTATGGTATTTTATCAAGTGATAGAAAAGTAGTTAATACAGACCCTTTCCTCCAAAGCAAAACACAAAATGTATATGCCCTGTCATGACATGGGCTCATCTACCATGGTTAGAAAGAAAAGACCCCCAGTCCATAAAGGACCCACTCTGACCAGGAAAAAGGCTTAGAACACCCTGAAGAGAATGACATCATTGGATCTCTCCCTCTTGGCCCTTTGCTCTTATTTTGGACATTATATAGTTATACTTCTTTTTATCTACACGTCTATATAACTGTCCATTTCTCATCGAAGCTAAGCATAAAAATGGACACTTTTCTCCAATTCTTTAGGCTTTCATTCATGTCCAACTGTCATGTAAAACTTTGAAAAATAAATGACCTATTTTTCTCTAATACATCTCCTGTTACAAGAAAGTAAGCCATGATACTTAAGGGGGTGAGGAAGGTATCCCCTCCCCTACCTGACCTCCACAGAAGTTCCCACTATGTTTTAAGGTCATTTTCATTTCTATGTTTATAGCAAAAAAATATATCCCTAGTCATCCCATATCTAAAATAGAATACTGCAGAAGAGATTAGAGAAAACAAAACAAACTAGAGAAAATAAATAGAGAAGGTATATACTATTATGAAACAAGGCAAAAATTTTAAAACCATGGTGAAGTGGACAAATTGTTAGTAACTCTAACAGGGAACTTTTGCACAGGTCTAAGTAAGATGTGCTGTCATTCCTTTGCCTCTGTGCTTCAAATGAATACATGAGTGTACAGCCTGGTGTAAGACCATGAAATGTACAGACTTCTAGTACTCGCTTCTTTATATTCAATGGAGCTAAACGACTCAAGAATACAAATCTGTGCAACTCTTAAGTAAATTTGAACTTCCATCCAGTTAAAGTTTGTACAATGACTTTCCATAATACACACATGAAATAATTAGTGAAGATGGTTCTTAATTTAAAGGCTGTTAAACAGCTTGTAGACATCTGGTAACAAGCTGAAATGGGTCATTCAAAATTTATTTAACTAAATTAAGGGGGAAAAATGTTTCTCCTCCCAGGTTGGCATGTCACAAGATAACTAAACCGACTTAGTAGGCTTGCTTGGGAATCCTTAGCTGTCAGTGGTGAATATGCAAAGGGCCAGCAAATTAAATCAACCTGCCAAACTGTCAATTTCAAGCCTCATGACTGCAGGAAAATAGCATCACTGGAAGAAATCAAGCATTGCCTTCTTTTGGGTTTCCTGGCACCTATTCAAATACTCATGCAGTTGTGGCTAATTTTGCATGCAAATTTCAGTCAATAAGCTCAGAACAAGACCTCCCAAGATATTTCAAAGGCTCTGACAGTATTTTTTCTGAATACCAAATCGACAGTAGTTGAAATTCAATCTCAATTTGCCAGTGCTTTACATATGCACACTGTCCCCACCACAGAGCGAAGTTAATGAGAGCCTTACCTGCCTTCACTCACATCCTCCCAGCCGTCCTTGCTGAGGTTCTCAACGTGGCTCATAACCTTGATGGAGTGATTGAGAAGCGTGTGGTGGCGACCCACAGAGATCTTTTTCTTGGCAGCTTTAAATTTCACCTTGGTAGTGGTTGTCTTGCAGTCACACGGCCGGGCTCTCACCTCTCTGGTGACCATCTCAGATTTAGCTTTGTCAGTGGGATGGTGGCGCTTCTCGCCTGGACTCACCGCCTCTTCACTGTCGTTTCTCAAAGCCTTGGCCTCTGCCACTTGTCTCCTCAGGGTAGTGACTTCCCTCTCCAGCTCAGTGATTTTGACTTGAAGTTCACCTTTGTCATTTTCTACATCTTTACTCACCTTCAGTAGGTGCTCCAGCTCCTTTTCTCTCACTTCAGAATCTTCTTGATAGTGTTTTAAATGGGATTTCAGGAAATCATTTTCTTTCTTTAATTTTTTATTCCCCTCTTTTAATTTTCTTGACTTTTGCTCAAAAGATTTTAGTCGATTTTCCAACTCAATGACCTAAGCAAGAAGGAATAATTTATTCCTTTAAAATTTAAGAGCATAATCTACTTTATTTCTAATTATCATCTCTAACTGAGGAAGAAAGTTACATTTAGTACAAGGACAAAATGAATCTAAAGCACTTAATTCCTAAATATTTCTAAGGTGATGTAGATGAATACATTCAGAAATGCAATAATGCATCTGTTGAACAAAGGACAGATGGCAAAAGAAGTTAAAATCCTATGCAAAGTGATACAGAACTAAGGATGCCAATGAGCTGCAGAGTTCTCTAAGAGTGTAGGTGCTTTCGTTATATGGTCTCACTGTGAGAAGAAATATTTTCAGAAAATCAACTGTTTATAGAAATAGCCTAAAACAGGTTCATGGAGAAACTATCAGCAAATACTTGAGAAACACATTAAAAAGTGCTGACAAGATAAATAACCTGAAACAGTTTAATTTCTAAATTAGAAGTATCTTTTTAACTTTCATGGCATTCTTATTTCACAAAATAAAATCTTTTTCCAAAAAATAATGTTCAACAATCTAAAATGATAAGAATTTGAAGGTTGCTTATAAGTAAAACATTTCCATTTATTTCAATGAATATTGCTCCTGTTGTAGGATACAGTGATGATCAAATACAACGATGGCCCTATGTTTCGGCAGTCACTGGAAAGACATATACTTGCACATCTTAAAGTAATGCATGATAGGATATAAACACTGTAGGTCTAAACACCAAGGACAAAATTATTATTACTGTTACAAAAGGAAGTTTGGATTTAGAACTTGTAAAATGACAAGAGTTGTTATTTGAAACATAATATTTAACTATTTTTCAAAATAATTTTATAAGTGTAATTGAAACAGAAACTCCAAAACGGCTTTTGCAAAGAATCACTGACTCTTCATTTGAGTCCACAAGACAACTAAAAGCAGAACAGCCGGACATCTATGTATTTGTTTTCAATTTGTGTGCTGGCTCAAGAAACACATGGTTATTGTCTCTAATCTTACATATTGAATCATCTAGAATTCCACAAAGAGCCATAAGGTCAGATACCTCTACACCTCCAAATGAGAATAGCTATCCATGAGGCCAAAAAGCTGCATTCTCAGGGAGCAACAGATTAACAATATAACACTTTATTGGACCACCCTGATGATGGCTCTGAGCTGACATAAAAATGGGCAGACCACACCTTGCCCAAGACTGCTCAATTCACACCTCTGTTTTAAACTAAACCTAGAGCTCCTGTCAGTCCATGTATTATGAACTCCAGTGGAAAGCTGGCCCTGATGCCCTTTATTATTCCTTTCAGTGATATGTCTTTGGGGCTGGTCAGAGAGCTCAGTCAGTAAAGTACCCAACTCCAGTACAAAGATCTGAGCTTGATCCCCAGAACTTACATACAAAAGGCAGCGTGTTCTAGAGCTGGGGAGGCCAGGACAGGTAGACTCCTGCATCTCACAGACCAGCTAGCCAAGGCTACTTGACAGGTGAGTGAATTATTCCAGACCAGAAAAAAAAGAAAAGAAAAGAAAGAAATGATGGTTTGTGCCTTAGGTGGTATCAGATTTCCACAAGTATGCATATGCACACACCACACCATACATATAGGAATATACACACGCAAGAAGGAAATTCAGATGTGTTTAATGTTGGAGGCTCCTGAACCTAGTTACTCAGGACATAAAGGACAGAATGCTGCAAGGCCAAGGCCAGCCTGGGCTACAGAATGAGTTCAAACCCAGCCTGTGCAGTTCAACCTTGAAACCATTAACATTGAACCTGATAATGTATTTTGTAAGAAAAAATATATTGAGACAAATGCTACAATTTGAAAGCAGCATTTACTATCAGTGATAGTAGTGCTGTATTGTGACTACATGTTGACATAGACTGTCCTATTAAAACACAGAAAACCATACTAAATATACATAAACTCTATATATACTTTTTAAAAATAAAGATATGCATATATGGCTGGACAAATAGATTGTTGGTAAGTAACTTGCCTAGGATGCATAAAACCCCTACATAAATCTAAATATAAAGCTAATATGAAAAAGTAAGAAATTAACTTGCTAATTGGATTCAAATTCAATGAAAATCATTACTGTTCTTTTTCTGGGCCTAAATGCATTTCTGGACCCATAATGTTAGTTGTCAGTTGTAGAGGGTAGATAGAAGTCATAGTTTCCGTAGGCTTTCCCTTCTAGAGGACTAGTTATATACCATGAATCTATACAAACAAAATTATACGAAACAGTGAGGAAAATACTATCTTGAAACAAAGCTGATGCATTAATACAAAGTGTAAAGTTTCCCAGATGATGGTACATTGAGGGCATCAATGTTTCACCTTCCATCAAGATGAACGAATGTGAGCCTGTCTCAGTCTCTTCCCTATTATGTTCACCTGGTACGTGTCATTCAGTAGCAGTGAGGTGACATCCTTTGTTACAAGACAGTGGCAAGACTAGGAAAAGTCGCTATAAGTCTATCCACAGGTACAGGAAATAAAAGCAGTAAAGTGAAATTGCTTATACATGTTTGCATGTTCAGTTTTGCTTATGAAACGATGCTTTAGTAATACCGAAGACTAATCCAGAGTAGCTAGAAAACAGTCAGAGAGCCCATTACTGAAAGATAAATCTTAAATAATATGGCTAGTAAATGTTTTCGAACCTGACAATACATTTCGTAAAAAGAAATAAGTTAATATGCATACTAAAATTTGAAAGCAGCATTTTACTATCAATGAGACTACTGCTGTATTGTGTCAACAGGCTCACATGGACTGTCCTACATAATACAGAAAACTACACTAAATCATAGGGTAATTTTTGACAATAAGTCACACATATTTAAATTATGAAGACATTGCCATTTTACTCTGGCAGAGCTATGAATAGGAACAGCAATCTGTGCCTGTTGCAGATCAGGGGCTTCTGACCCACTTGTAACTTGAACTGCTCACTTATAACTAAGAGGCACATATACTCTAAATTTTGTTAACTTTTCTTCTTTTCATTTCTCCTCTCCATCTATAAAAATATTTTTAATCTATGTCCAAGGAAGCACAAATGTTTACCCATTTATTTTTCTAACATTGATTTTGTTAACCCATTTTGGCAAGCCAATGATTTTGAATTATGAATTTAAATCAAGAATTCACACAAGGTTTAAGTTCATGAGCTCTCGTTTTAAAATATAATCCTTTATGTTAAAATTCAGATTTAACTTGCTCAGCTCAATATCTTAAAGATTGGACTACCTTCTGTAATGTCTGCTCCGGTATTGCTTTCTCATTCTTCTCTGGAGTACTCTTCTTGACCCCAGCATCTTCATGGTGTCTAAAGAGTTGTTCTGGAAGCAAATGAATAATATATTAGGGTATATCATATATTGCTGAGACACTGTACTATCATTTTAAGAGGAAAGGTTTTGTGGTTTTTCAATTATGAATAATCTAGTCTACTCTCCTGCCAAGTATTTGACCAGAACAAAATGGTGACCTCTCTTAAGGGCTTTTTTTTGGTCACATAGTTACATATCTTTATAGTGTCATAGTTTTTTCCTGCAGTGTTAAGATTTTCAAAGGTACAATAGATCTGCAGGCTAACAATGCGATACTTTCATTCCCATGTTCATGCTTTTGTAGACTATTCTGCCTTTACCTTAAAAGCAGAATTCATTGCCGTTTTATCTACAGCGACTACCAGTTTTGTTCTGCTGATCCTGTTCCCTGCCATGAGGATCAGAGTGATCACTGAACAAAGCAAACAGTAATGGAATTAGAGACTGAAACCATAACAGTGCATGAACCTTTCCTTCCACGAAAAGACTGTGCACAGGCAGGTTAGCCATAAAAGCCTCAAAGCTAGAGGAGCTGCAGCTTCACTTTCTAAGAAGTGGGTGAAGTTGTTTGACAAATCACTCCTGCGTAGGCTGACAACTAACTACCACAGCTTCTCGGTGCAGCCAAAACCTGTAAGCAAGTTACCAAATTCAGGGAAACATTGTCACATTTTTCATTAATATTAAAATTCATTGAAACCTATAACTAACTATTTTATTTACAGATAAGTTAAAGGGATGAAGTTACCATCTTTTAGTGAATTCCTTAACTGTCTCTTAAGTATAATGTTGCTAAAGAACAAAGCAGGGATCAGAAAAGTGTATGACACTAAGAGAGTATGCATCTGTGCCAGCTTGCTTTTGCTTTAAAGTCAGCTTGACTGCTGTAGGTCAGTGTAAACTTTGATTTATCAACAAAGGAAGAGAAAACAATATTATTCTCTGTAGAGTAGAAATCCTCCTGATAAAAACAGCGACTAACAAGTTTGTTAGAGTGAATTAGGCATTTCTTTTGTCTTTGAAACATGACATACTCAATTAAAACTTCTGTGCTCATGAAATAAATAGAACACTGTCCTAAGAATAATAAAAGCTAGAATAGGTAGAATTTGCCTCTTGGGGAACATGTACCTTTACCTTGATAATACTCTATCAGCTCCCAAGCTTCTTTTTCTAGTCCCCTAACACCACGGTGCTGAATTCATTTACAGCACTCTTCAGCAATATAGAAATAATATGCAAATATAATTCATCTGCTCTAGTCATTTAAATATCTCCTATAGCTCTGAGTGAAATGTTTGTCCTTAAAACTAAGATAATAGTAAAATATTCACATACATAGAGTACTAATGACATCTATATATTGCTAATAAAATTAACACTGAAGAATGATTTTTAAAAAAATTTCCTTGCTGTATATTTTGTCCCAGGTATCTGCAAGAAATGCTGGACAGACTAGCTGAACATGTGCACTTGTGAGTGTCACTAGGTTAGCATGTGCACCTGTGGGTGTCGCTAGTTGAGCATGTGCACCTGTAGGTGTCGCTAGGTTAGCATGTGCACCTGTGGGTGTCGCTAGCTGAGCATGTGCACCTGTGGGTGTCACAAGCTGAACATGTGCACCTGTGGGTGTCGCTAGGTGAGCATGTGCACCTGTGGGTGTCGCTAGCTGAGCATGTGTACCTGTGGGTGTCACGAGCTGAACATGTGCACCTGTGGGTGTTGCTAGCTGAGCATGTGCACCTGTGGGTGTCACAAGCTGCTAGGTGAGCATGTGCACCTGTGAGTGTCGCTAGCTGAGCATGTGCACCTGTGGGTGTTGCTAGGTGAGCATGTGCACCTGTAGGTGTTGCAAGGTGAGTATGTGCACCTGTGGGTGTCGTTAGCTGAGTATGTGCACCTCTGGTTATCATTAGCTGAGCATGTGCACCTGTGGCTGTCACTACGTGAGCATGTGCACCTGTGGGTGTCACCCAGAAAGATTTTTCTGGCCTATATAGCTTCTATAAGTATACTGAAACAGCTAGGCTCAGACTATGTAGTGAAACAAGGAATATACTCTTTGCCACTTCAGTTCAAACATCTCAGGATGTGCAGATGTAGGCAAGAGGGCCTCGTTAAGAAAATGACATTTCTTCTCTCTCTTTCTCTCTCTTGACAAGTGTGCTTTTTTCTACAAGACTTATATGGTTGAAATACTTTAACTTTTACTAGCATTAAAATTCTTCTGGGTTTTGTTCCTTCTTTTTTAGAAATTTTTCTTTTTCTGTTTTTAAACATTAACTTTTTAAATAATTGGTTAAAATTAGTTTGATTTTATTTTTGTTTCATTTCCTTTTAATCTTCTTGGTTTACCATGGTGGTAAAGGGATTTTCTCCCGCTTTCTTGGAGTCTAAGTGCACTGAAATAAATGGGAATTTGTAGGGGAAAATGCATACCACACAGACTATGAAAATTGCAGAAGTGCCAGATGGTCCAGGCTGCAGTATCCTCAGCAATAGGAAAAGTGAGATGGAGCAAGGGATTGAGGACCTTTTTTAGGGGTAGAAAATGACCTTTAGGGAAAGTGAGTGAGTCTGATGGAGAGACCATGCCAGGAACAGAGGTGAACACAGAAACTGCAGTAGCATTGAAGGTTGTCTTTCCATGTCCAAGACTCATCAGAACAGGTATCTTTAAAGAGAATTGTCAAATACCTTTAAGCCTGTTTTTCTATGAGTTAATCCTTGGTTACTGGGATTTTAGAGAGGGATCAAAGTCACAAAAGGTAATCTGCACAGCTTCCTGAGCCTGATAGCAACATACAAAGGAAGGTCAGAAATGACCAGGTTCTAAGGAGGCTGAAAGACTCCCCAGTTTCCCCTATTTCAAATTACTCAGCATAGCTGGGGTACAGGGTGTTCAGGACTCAGGGGTTGGGGAAGAAAGATTCTGAATTCCAGGTCATCCTGGACTGCACAGAAAGATTCTGTCCCATGTCAAAGTGTGATTAGTTTGGGTTATTAGTTTCCAAGCCCCAACATTCCATTGGATAATTAATCTAAATGATTCTGCAACTTTTTACTGTTAATTATCTTATTATTCTTTTATATTCTCAATTTAATTATAGTAACATTATTTTTAAAACCTATCATATTTTTGTGATTTTTTTCCATTTTAATATTTAACAAAACAAACATAAAAAACAGTTTCATGTTTGTTTTAATAATTAAATTATTTTTTATAAATTGTGAACATAATTTACCATTTTTAATTTGATTTCCACTAGTTTTATTTGAAATACTTAATAGCAAAACACAACTCCAATCATCCTAAATTAGGGCTATCATTTTACAAAATTAATTTGCTATTAAATATAAATATAGTCATTTAGCATTCAATAGGTTGTATTTTACATTATTTAATGACATAATACATTTTATTTCCCCCAAATGCAAAAGAGAATATGGAAAAGTGTTAGTGCAAACTACATTGAGCCAAATGAAACAACCTTACTCTTGAATTGACATGCCAATTTTTGCACTATCCTAAGGATATCAATGGCTAATATTAAAATCTCACCAAGGCCAGCTGGCCTAGGTCTGAAAAAGCATGGGATAAATCCGGACTAGCTGAACATAGCGGACAATGAGGAATACTGAGAATTCAAGAACAATTGCAGTGGGTTTTTGATCCTATTGCACGTACTGGCTTTGTGGGAGCCTAGGCAGTTTGAATGCTCACCTTAGGAGACCTGGATAGAGGTGGGCAGTCCTTGGGCTTCCCACAGGTCAGGGAACCCTGATTGCTCTTCGAGCAGATGAGGGGGGGTGGACTTGATCGGGGGAGGGGGAGGGAAATGGGAAGCGGTTGTGGGGACGAGGCAGAAATCCTTAATAAATAAATAGATTTAAAAAAAAAACTTACCTTACTTCTTCTATTCTTTGGATTTTTATTGATAAATGATAACTATGTTTTACTGATTATATTTCTTGATCTGTGATTCAATTTAAAACAAACAAAAATACTACAAAAATATAATTTAGTAGAAATTAACTGATTGCATTCATTTTAGTAACTGAAGACATATTTTTCTGTGATTTCAATTCATTACATACTAATTCTGTATGATACATTTTAGTGCACATAACATTTATTCATTTTAGTTTGTGTATAGGATAAGTAATTCAGCTCAATCAGATTGAACATGATAGTTTTATCTTGCCTGTATACTTATTCTCAACGTCGCAGATACTTCTTTCAAATCAAATTATTCATTAAATGGCTCTTCCACTATTTTTGATTGCTACTTTTGAATATATTTCTTAATTATACCACATTACTTTGTTTATTTTTTCTCCTTTTCTTTTTCTAATTGAAAAGATCCTTCTCTCATACAATGCATCAACCATAGCTTTCCCTCCCTCCACTCCTCTTAGTTCCCCTCCACCTCCCTTCCCCCATCCACCAGCATCTATTTCCTCTTCAGAAAAGAGTAGGCCTTCAAGAGACAGCAATTAATCGGCACAAAAATAGATACAGCGAGTCAGGACAAAATAAGAACTTGTGGGAGTAGCCAAGCAGTTTTTCTGATTTTTAAAAAGTTCTCCTTTAGGTATACATACTCAGCATAGTCCCTTCATAAATCCTCCCTGTTGTTGTTGCTTTCTGCTTCTGTCAATCCCTTTAGCCCTCAGATAATTTTATTTCTATCTACATGTCACAAACACACGTATATAAAATACAGAGCCACAAATTAATAAAAACATGATATTGCCTAAGGCAGGCCTAATTTACTTAATGTTATCTCATTTTTCCTATGTTCCTGAAAAGAGCATAGCTTTATTCTTAAGGCTGAAAAAAATCCATTGTGCATATATACCACATTTGTCCACCAATCCTCTGATGTTGGATACTTAGGTTGGTTCCATAACTCAGCTACTGTACACAATGCTACAATAAGCATCAATATACAAGAAACCAATGTGCAATGTAAGATATTGATTTGGAATTGTTAACTCTCAAGTTTTTCCTTTTCTTCTTAATTTGGTTCTTTATGATTGCTTGAATGTTTATCTATGTATGTTTTTGTTTTCAAAACAATATAGTTACTTTTAACAATAAAACAAGAAGACTATTCAGGGTCCCAATTGTTAAGAAAGAAGTGGGAATATGTTTCAATCGAAGAGAGAGAAAAGTTCCTGGCAAGAGAAGAAAACTGAAAACAAAAAACCATGTCTCAGAAGCCAATGAAGGGGTAAACTCATATTTTGGTGAAAACTAAACGTATAAAGTAGAAATGTTAAATCTGGCTTTGGTAAATCACTAACACCATATTTAAGACTGAGTCAGTAATAATAACTGGGATAAAGCTAAACAAAGAATTCATTGAAAACAATCACTAGGTGTCTTGACAGCAGCTGAGTGGCAGAAGCTGGAGGAATCTTATATTAGCCTGATTTGCTTCTTCTACTAAGATACTGAAGTTGCACAGTAAATACAATTGTCTTCACTTTTACCATAGGAACAACTTACATTGGTAACATGGCACATCCCCTATCATGAGACAAGTGGTCACAGTGGTCACACACTTAATGAATGAACAAAGCTTCCCTCTATGTTTAGGATTGTGGTCCCATAACGCTAGAAAGAACTAAGTACCTTCAAAATCTTGTAATAGCAAAAGAAAACATGAATGAATCACTGTTAAATCAATGATAAAATTGTGAGCAAGTCTAACAAGGAAAATTTCATGAGATGAACAATAAAAATAGTCAATTTTTGTTATTTTTATAATTATCAAACATGACTTCACAATTTTATATTAAGAGAAAGAGAGAGAGGCCAGAAGGGTCATGGTCCTAGAGGCAGTGTTCTCCCCTGGAGGGTTAAGCCAGCCCAGAAGCTGAGTCAGAGAGTCGCCACGATTCTCCCACTCCAGACAGACGGAGGTTAAGATCATTCCTGGTAAGCCAGCTGGTGGGCTACAGCAGATTATTAGAAATGGGCTAGTCCAGGTGCGAGAGCTAGCCTAGAAGAGGCTAGATAGAAATGGGCCAAGCGGTGTTTAAAAGAACACAGTTTCCGTGTAATTATTTCGGGTAAAGCTAGCCTTGCGGGCAGCAGGGTGCTGGGGACGCAGCCCCGCCGCTCTTATTACAACACTCCCCCTCCTAGACAAGGGTTCCGGGGTTGAACTCAGCTCACAGGCCTGTGCAGCCACAGCTATAGCAGCTCAGCCATCTCCCAAATCCCATGGAAAAGTTTTAAGAAATTGTGAGACTGTTCGAAGTGAGATATTTAGGAGTTCACTGTATTTGATTTTCTCATGAAACATAAAAATTCAGTGTGTTATAAATAAATAACATGGTGCAAAAATGGAGAAACTAAGTAATATCCTTAAATTGAAACAAAAACTAGAAAATTTAATAATGCTAAAGATTTATTTTAATTAAAAACTTACCTTCTCTTTTCTCTGCCATGCACCTATTCAATTCTTGTATTGTTGTTTTATCAATAGACATATGTACTTTAAGATCATCCAATTCATCTTGAAGATTCATCCTATGAAAAATTCAAAAAATTAATAATTACATAAAATGTGTAAGTTAAGGAAGGTTATAGTAAAATAATCAGCAAAGACAATGGAAGAATAGAAAACATTAACATAAAATCAAAAATATAGTAATTATATGTATTCAATTACATTTTTCAGCATACAAATAGATTTTTATGAGGGTATCTTTTATTATGTACTATGAACTTCAATGAACTTCATTACAATAAACATACCTATGTGTGTGTGTGTGCACGCATGTGTGTGTGTATACATGTGTGCATGTTTGTTGGAAGACTGACCCTGTGTGTAGCCTAAGATAGCTTTAAAGTCAAAATTTTGCCTTGGCCTCTTGTGTGCTGGGATTATAGGCATATGTCATCATAATCAGCTAAAGAACTCCTATGTGTATGTAGGGTGTGTGTGTGGGGGGGTCTAAGTATGTATAGGGCAAAAAAATGAAGAACAGAGACAAGAGGGAGAAAAGTGTCGAGGAAAGGAGAGAGGGTAATTGGACTGCGGTAGTTTGAATGTAATCCCATAGACAGTGGCACTATTAGGAGGTGTGACTTTGTTGCAGTGAACATGGAATTGTTGGAGGAAGTGTGTCACTGTAGGGATGGGCTTTGAGGTTTCTTATGCTCAGGATACTACTCAGTGTCTTTGCAGATTTCCTGCTGCCTTCCTGGCAAGATGTAGCCAGAAACCGTATATGCCTGTGTGCTGTTACGTTTCTCTCCATGAATCGCTAAAAATGCCTCAATTAAATATATATTGTTTTGGAAGAGTTTCCGTAGTCATGGTGTATCATCATAGCAATAAACACCCAAACTAAGGCAGAAGTTGGTACCAGGAGTGGAGGATTACTGTGATAGGCCTGATCATGTTTTTGTTTGGAGTGAGATGGACTTTGGGAGTTTGAGTTAAGAAAGCAGTAGAGGGGCTGGAGAGATGGTTCAGCAGTTAAGAGCATTGCCTGCTCTTCCAAAGGTCCTGAGTTCAATTCCCAGCAACCACATGGTGGCTCACAACCATCTGTAATGGGGTCTGGTGCGCTCTTCTGGCCTGAAGGCATACACACAGACAGAATATTGTATACATAATAAATAATAAATAAATATTTTTAAAAAAGCA